ACGATTTCTCTGGATGACAAATTGACTGGGAGATTTAATTCAGAAATAAACAATCGATTTTCGAAATAATATTTGTATTTGAATTCATTTCTTCGCGAAGTATGGCGAAGTATGAAACACGAATGAATAAATCGTCAAATTATCTACAACATATTCTGGGATCAGAAAGATACATTGAAAAATATATCGGCACTTGCACTCTGAATGCCATCCGCTCAAAAGTCTCTGAGACATCCCAAATCTATCGACCCGATCTTTCTGCCTTGTTCTCAACATATCTGGAAACCAGGGCAATAACACCGAACTATGTGGAGGAAAAGAAGGAGAGAAAGTATAAGGACATAGTGCAATTCTGGTAAAAGAAACATGAAAGAGTGCCATTCGGAGAGATGAAGGAGATAGAAATTACAAAAAAATAGTGTTGCATTGGCACAGAACAGGAAACCCTTTCATCCTCGCTCCTTTTTAAAATCCTTACCTTCCATGCATCTTTAGAAATACGAAAGGCTGTAAACAGCGCACTTCAGCTGCAAAAGACAGTTAAGATCCTGCACTAACTTTCGGACTACTGTTGTTATTTTTGAGGGGCTCTAATTTTTTGAGATTATTAGGCACTCCTGGTTGACTTCTTGTGGTTTTTCTTTGTGGTAACTGTCACACATACCTGGTAAGTGGTCATAGTAGAGGTCAGTCTGTCCCTCACTTCACTGCTAAGTGTTGATTGTGAACGTCTTAGCTGGTGAAAAGTATATGCATGTATCTAATCAATGCCAAGATTAAGTATTCTCTGCGATCTCTAACTCTTTCTCGACGGGAATGACAAATCCTCATAGCGCAAACTGCCATTATAAAGAAGATCCGGAAGCGTTGACGATGGAATGTTGCGGATAGAGTGTGTATAGGTCCGGATTAAGTATGTCTTCAGTTCGTTATTATAGGTGTGCAGGATTAGACAGCTCGATGCTACCTGCAGGTCGACGTGTGTGTCGATTAGTTACTCATTGCTTAACCCAACATCATGCTTCTGTTCAGTGTTCTGCGATTATCAGCTGCTGCTTCACAAGTAAATAATTTCACAGAAGTTCACATATATACCAACTTAGATTGGATAGAGGTCAAAATAGCCTGTTATTTATATCGATATTTAGATGGACAACGGAATATTCTGATGAAACAGACATTTGGAATTCACACCAGCAATGTTAGGTACAAACGCGACTATTATGAGATTTTGGGCTTGAAGAAGGGTGCATCGGCAAAAGATATCAAAAAAGCATACTATAAGGTCTGTGTTGTTATTATGGTTCGAATTTATGCCTTCTTGGCAATAGTTCGATTTGATATCAAATAGAAGTGGTATTTTTCTGAAAAGGTGTAGTTGGATTTTTTCAGCTAGCCAAAGAATACCATCCTGATGTAAATAAAAGCAAAGATGCCAATGCTCGATTTCAGGAAGTATCTGAAGCCTATGAGGTTAGTACCATAAATTCTTTCGAGTCTGGGAAAACCAAAAACCATACTTAGGGTTGTCGAATAGATCTTATTTTGGTGCAATTCGTATTTGAAATCTTTTGAGGTGCTTAGTGATGATCAGAAACGTGCTCAGTACGACCAGTTTGGCGCAGATCCATTCCAGCAGCGTCAGACTGCTGGAGCAACAAGTTACGATACGGGTGGCTGGCAGTACCAGTCAACAATTGATCCAGAAGAGTTGTTTAGAAAAATGTTCGGTAAGAAATGTAAAAGATGGACAAAATTTATATGGGGTCCTTTAATCTTTAAAGCGGCGCTGTTCTTTAAAGCGGCGCTGTCATTCTGGTTTTAATGGGATACTCAGAAGCTTGCTTTAGTAACCTTCTTTCCCATTAATTGCTCCTTGCTATTAGCAATCAATTGACACCGGATAACTACATTTTCAGGAGGGCGAAGTCCATTTTCCAACTTCGCAAATAGTTTCAGCGATTTTGCGGATTCGGCAGATGGCTTTGAGTCATCCGAGCAACATATTTTGAACATATCGTTCGAAGATGCGGCTCGTGGAGCACAAAAATCTATGAGTATAAATGTTGTAGATGATTGCCCAGCTTGCTTTGGAAAAGGAGTCCAACCGGGTTATAAAAAGGTATTTCTCTATAATTGTTACCATTTATGTTCTTATTTTACTGGAATCGTCTTTGTTTTTGGTGTTCGCCATCGGTCCTTGACGAAAATTGATGTGATTTTAATTGCTGAACTGCTTTTTACGTCTTAGTAAACGGTATTTCTTACAATTTTTTTTTTCAGAACTATAATCTGTCACTTAGTAGGGAGTCAAAAAGTGAAACTTGTTTATGTCGGGCAAGACAGCTGTTTGTCCAACATCGCGCTTAGTTTCAGGTTTCTTGTCCATACTGCAATGGAACAGGTTACGTCACGCAACAGATGGGTGGGTTTTATATGCAGTCAACTTGTGGACGTTGTCGAGGGACGGGTTCTTATAATAAAAATCCGTGTTTACAATGCGAAGGACATGGTCGAACGGTTCAACGGCGTACTGTAACTGTTAATATACCGGCTGGAATAAATGATGGCGAAACTGTTCGAATGCCCGTAGGAAAGGTCAGTTTAAAATTTTTTTTTTTTTCGAAAAGCGTCGCACGATTAGATTCGTGCATTATCCCATTACACGTGTTCATGATTTTTTCAGTCGACTGTTTTCATCACATTTAAAGTGGCTCCGTCATCACATTTCCGACGTGACAAGTATGACATTCATTGTGATGTGGAAATATCCATTGCACAAGCGATTCTTGGAGGCACCGTCAAAGTATTTCATTTTTTCCTCTTCCTCAAAAGTATGATTGAAGACTTTTGGCTGTGGGAGAAATTAAAAGGAAAGAAAAAAAGGAAAATGAATGGGAAAAACGAAGTTATCGTACTTGAAAAATAAAAAAAATTGTCGCTTTGCGGCATAATTCGAGGTAGTGTGGGGCTAGTATAAAATTTACGTAATTCTTTTGCGTTTGAATGATTTTATGAATTCTCTAGTGGATCATAATTTTGAAATAAGCTGGGTAATAAAAAATAGTTTCCATTAACTAAGGAGAACAGGAAAGCATACCAATTAGATATGGTTCAGTAATAAAGTAATATTATGATGTCAACAGTTGAAGTCGGGGACATGGAAAAGTGGAAGAAATAAAGTAGAAATAATGAGAAATCGTATTTTGTTCTAAAGTCCGTTATTAATTCCATAGAACACATTTAATTTCGATTGCTTACTTAGGATAACACCGTGTCCTCACTGTTTGTTATAATTCTCAAATTTGTGTTGACATCAAGGTGAGATTGAAATATTTCAAAACCCAACTGATTTCGATTGCCACCATATACTGTTTAACAAATATTATATACATATGTTCTTCATCGGAATGTTGTCAGTCAAGTTGCATATCATTTACGTGTGAAATGTATTGTATTTTTACCATGTTGAAATTGTACAGGTGCCGGGGATAAAGGAAGACACTTATATACAAATACCACCAGGAACTGCATCACATACGAAAATGCGTTTAACGGGTAAAGGAATAAAAAAATTGAATTATGCAGGACACGGGGACCAGTATATAAATATCAAAGTGAAAGTACCAAAGTAAGCGGTTGTTTAACTTTATAAAACATTATTATTACCTTAAGATGCATTTATTATTAAGGTAGGAGTGGGTGGGATGATTAAGACGGACTGAATCTAGTGGTGAGTTGCTGCAGGAAGAATATCTGGCGAGATTGAGGTTTCGCAAAATATGAAGATTTGACGACTTTGATATTTATCTATTTGTATAACTGGTTGGTGCATAATTTGTTGAGATTTTACCTTAGTATCGGTTCATGATCCGAATCAGTTGATAATTTTTCAGGCTTTTAACAGACAAACAAAAAGCGCTGATACAAGCTTGGGCTGAACTGGAAACTGATACTCCAGGTACGATACAGGGAATAAACAATACTGTCGAAGGTAAACTTTCTCTTCCGACGTCTTTTTGATTTTTGAAGTTTACTACGTTAATCTACCACAGTAACCAAGAGCTGGTTAAGTAATTTTTCATCCTTAATTGTTTATGGATGGCGAATTCTCATTCTCCGAAACAAGTGATTTACTTCTCCCTTTTGACTTCTCTTCTTTTAGACACTGGAAGGAAAAGAGTTGGAAATGGGGCGACAGTAGTGGATGATAATGATGGAGGAAAGAGAAGTCAAAATGGGGGAGAAGGGAGGTATAGCAAAGAGACGTTTTTAAAACGACTGAAAACGAAAATTTTTGGATAGTATGAGTTTGGAAGGTAGGCTGTAGAAATTCTTGATTAAAAAGTGTTAAAGGAAATTAATTTAGGGAGAGGTTTGTAAAATACATTTCCCGAGTTCCTATGTAACAAATATGAATTATTTTCAGGTCGAAAAATAGCCGACGATGAAACTGGCTATGGTTCAAAAATAAGAGAAATCTTGAAAAATTCGGGGAGTAAATATTCATCTCAGTCGAGCAGTTAGGATGACAATGATAATAATGATAGTGATGTGCGTTTGATCACAAGCAAAGAAAAAGCTCTGTTTTG